CGCATGACTCAATGTCCTTCAACAAACAATCCATCACCATTTGGAAACTGGCTGGAGCTGACGCAACCAAACACCAGTCAGTTATAGCGGTATTATGCTATTTATGGTTCGAAGATGTTTACTCCTCTTCCATCTCTAGTCTCAGATATGCATTTGACAAATCTAATCTACAAAAATATTTACAGTTGACAAATTTGTTGAAGATATCTTTTACCCTTGGTATCGGATACTGATCTATCTTCAAAAATGATTTAATGTTACTTTTAGATCCACATAAAGGCGTACCCTACCATCCTTTTTTGGGACGCAAATTATGGGCCCATTAGCTATAATTTGTTTTTTCTACAATGCCCTCAGATTCGAGACGGTTTAATTCCTCCTGGACATTAGGGCATAAGGTACCTCATATGCCCGGTGGAATACAGGGGTTACTTGCTCTTTCAAGTTAATGTGTACCTTATGATTGAAAATTGGTAGATGATTATCCCTCTCTGAAAACGTGCGAGGATATTTTGCCTTTAAGTCTAATACAAGATTTATTTGTCCTTTCGTGTGACTGACATGACATACTCCTGCCTTTGCCCAATTACTTCAACTATATGAGACAACCATTCAGGTTTTAAAACATTTAGCCAGCGACCAAGTAACACAGCATGTGACAATCCTTTGACTACATGGTAAATTTGTACACCAGTCTTCAACTGAGACCAGGTTTGGAGTATTATCTGAAAAATTACAAGCATTTAAAATTGATACGTAAGGACTAAACATACACGGATTTTTCACTTTGCAACTTAATTCAACTTTACTAATGGCAAAGGCATTACTTCCTTTCTGATAACGCCTTGACTTGCATACAGAAGAAGTGTGCCTTTTTCTCCACAAGAGTAGCATTCCCAGTTTCTTGCTGGACAATTGGTAAATTTGTGCTTGATACCATATGAACGGCATCTTACTTGGTGTGACAACTGTCGGTTCTGTGACGACTAACGGCTACGACGATCTCCTCGAGACTCGAGCGACGACTTCTTGATTCGAATGGCTTAAAATCTCCGTGTTTTTGTCCACAAATTCCAACTTAAAAAAGTATCTCCGTAGCTTCCGAGAATGTTAGAGCATCCTTTTCGGATAGTAAACGACTGATGTATATTGAGCTTAAAAGACCACACCAGTTTATCTCGTAGATTCTCATCCAAGGACGTCGTAAAATGACATTTAGCTGCCAGGTCTTTGATAGCGCAAATGCATGCTTTCAAAGACTCACCAGAAGCCTGTTTTCTGCAGGAGAATTGATACCTGTCGGCAATCAAACATCCTTTGGTGACAAAATGGTTCTTTAGCATGGTGACGAGCTCCATATATTTTAGTTTTCCGACTGAAGACGGTGAAATGAGACATTTCAGAAGATCGAACGTTTCCTCATCAAGAGCGAGACACAAATACGTTCTTTTCTCCTTCTCTTCCAGATATGGTGAAGCAGAGATCCAAACGCTCCATGAAAGACCCGAAATTCTCTGATCTGCCCTTAAACTTAGGCATGAGCATTGATGCGTTGTTTCCAATGCTTACAGATGCCAATCCAGACTGCTCCAAGGACATGACGAAGGAAGACTAATTGCTGACGTTTGACGTCAATTTGAGACTCTCCACTGGACGATTCTTCCACGACGAATTACGATCCAGGACTTATGTCCATGTGCGATAACCTCGAACCGGCACCAAACGGAAAAAAAACCGCTTGCACTCCCGATTTTATCTCGACGCCTAACGTGTTATGTCTCGTTCGTACTAAGGTAGACTTGGATATAAATTGATAAAAAAAGACTTGGGCTTTATTGGCTTTAGGCCGATGCCGAGCGCCCACATAAGTCATAAGACACACACACTCACAAACATACTGCGACAATGATCATCCGGTAGAGCGGAACACAACAATTTGTTATATATTATATTAGGTTTTCTCAAAGGTATGCTCAGAAAATTGAAACTTTGCATATGCTCTAGTTCGTTTTAATTGTGGTGTTTTTCAAGTATGAAATTTAGTAATTATGTATTAAAATATGGCATTTCCCAAATACAATCGTAGCGTTGTGGCTTCGAACCCTTTCAAATTCTTTTACCTGGCCTTGGTGACAAGGGTTGCACTCCTCGGAAACCGTAGGTCACGTCCGTGGTACCCATTATGCGAAAGGTAACATGTCAATTATTCTCACAAAGCGTGGCCATTTCTCGAAATATTTATACAGGCGGGAGAAAACTAAAGACGGAGAGAGGATTTTCCTGAATATTTGCCCTCCACTACCCTTCCCCACCCCGCAGACGACTAGCACGCGATATTAGATTTGTTCCGGACCGGAATCAAAGTCTTCCAAAGGGAATTCATATAAGGAGGATCTCACGAGAAGAAGTAGAATAAGGAAGAAAGATAGGGCGGAATTTCTGAAAAAGCTCCCAGACCGATCCTGAATCGAATTTATTCTCAGATATTGGCGAACATCTGCTCTTCTATGATTGATTCCTCTGTGTAAAAATATATTTTTCACCCACTTCAATTTATGACTAACTTGCATATGTAAACCGATGTTTTATTTACTTGAAGACGAATCAATATAATTCTTGCCTTTTGGGTAATGATTATTTGGAGATCGTGTGTTGCGGGCTAGTGTGACGCAGGTTTTAGAAAAACATTTTATTTATCGTGCCAACGTTTCGATCATTATTGAGATCATCTTCAGGCTCAATGTGTTTGTCTTCTGTGTAATTGTGCCATTTTTGCGTGTCGTGTTGAGAGTGCCCTCAACTCAAGAGTGAGCCCTTTGGCAACACTTTGAGCCCTGAAGATGATCTCAATAAAGATCGAAACGTTGGCACGATAAAGAAAATGTTTTTCTAAAACCTACGTCACACCAGACCGCATCTCACGATCTCAAAATAATTATTAACTAACTGTCACTAAACACCACACACTTGATCATACTGGTCGTTTCCCATTTATATTTGTCGGGCCAAAGGCTATTTTAGATTTTGGTCGATGGGATGTGAGTCTTGAATTTTAAGAAATTTTTAAAGCCAAGTGATTTGTGTCACGTCCAAGTTAGATTTTTTATTCAATGAGGTAAATATTTTCTCGATAAAAGAGCTGCACTGCATGCACTCGAGAACACAGCCTTTGGTCTTTGGACGATTGGTCTGCTGTACTTTTTACAGATGAGTGTAGATTTGCTCTACGATCTACAGATGGGCGAGAAAGAGTGTTGAGAAGGCGAAATGAAAAGTACGAAGCCAGAATATCTCCCGGAGCCAACCTTTTCAAAGTAGAGCAATGATGGTGTGGGCGGTAATTTCAATAGAGAGCCGCACAAAGTTTGTTGTTGTTCGTGGAGGATCTTTGACAGCAACTCGCTATGCGGATGAAATTTTGGAACTTCAAGCGCTGCCTATCCTCGATGAAATCAGCGACAATCCTATTCTAATGCTCGATTATACCCGTCCACATGTCGCTCGCATAGTACGAGCGTACCTTCAACAGGGTCTTAGCCTGGCCAGTCCGTTTTCCAGATTTGAACCCCATGGAACATTTATGTATTAGCCTCAAAAGATGAATTAGAGCACGTCCATCACTTCCTGATACAGTCCACGATCTTTAAAGGACTCGTCGTGGAGAATCGGCTAACCTCCTGCGAAGAGACACCTCCCAGACTGGTAGAAAGTTTGCCGAGGCGTCTTCGAGAAGTAATTAAGGCATGAAGGGGAAATATGCAAGACTGAAATGTTAATTAAAAATCTAATTAAAACAAATTTTATCTGTCCGTTTTTTTTTCATTTTTCATTTTCCTTAGCAATTTCCTTTTTTTTAACCGTGTTAGTCAATGACTCAATTATTAAACGTTAAAAAACGTGAAACTTTGATTAATATATAAAAATATATACAAATCAAGTTATATACAAGTTGGTAGAATTTTTTGCCTATCAGAGTATATGTATATCTATATAGTATATATCTATTATTGTATTTATCTTTATCAAGAAAAACATACATCTTTCTATTTTGCAGTATTAAGCAAAAATTTAGATTGATCAACTGCAATGATTGCAACAACATTGTTGCTTCTTGTATATCGCAAGACATTTTCAATTAATTTTCGTCACATTTAAATTTGATATTTCACATATCAAGTAAAATATTCCAAGAAAAACATATCACTCCCTACAAGATTAAGCCACGTTTAACTTGATCAACATGCTTCCATTATTCCTTGTTGGGTATCGCAATAAATTTTAATAGTCTGTTAATTTTCGTGACATCAAAATTTTATATTTTATATATGTAGTACTAAATTTCAAGAAAACAGACCCACTTCCTGCAATATTAATTCAACATTTAGCTTGATCATTCTGCCTGTTGAATGCTTTAGATTTTTGCCATTGGTGTCCTTGATATTAAATTTTTTTTGCATATGGCTTAAGTGGTTGATGTAGATGATTGTTGTCACATCACAGATTTTTTCTGGTATAATTACTTGAAAATTCAAGGAAAACAGACCCCTTTTTTCAACAGCAAGTCAATAACTTGGTTGATTGACCTGCTTTTATTATTTTGCCTTTAAATTTTTTTTTTGTATTACTGAACTCGTTTTAAAAGATTTTTCTTTCCTTCTTTTTGTTTTGCCTGTTAGATGTTTATTTTGTAATCAATCTCCTGGATGTTGAGAGTTGTTAGCCCAAATTTGATAGTGTGACTTGCAAATTTTCGATCTCAACTTTCCTCAACAATAAGCCAATATTTAACCTAGATCAACCTGTTCTGCTTATTCTTACTTGCTGTTTACTGTAATCTGTAATGACAGCGTAATTCATTTTTTACGTTCAAATTTGTGTGATTTTCAAAAGAAGTTATTCTTTCCAATAGAGCATGTCAATTGTTGCATTCAAACGGAAAATTTATGCATTCTCTACAATTTATTTCATTTTATTAAATATAATTAAAACTAAAAACTCACCAACAAAAATTCTGATGAGTAGCAATGCCTGAAGCAAAGAAATTTTATATAAATTCCCTCTTTTATAAGTAACAACATTAATAATTAAAATAATAAAAAGTTTATGAAATTTGTATTATCAGCCAGCATTTATTTAAATGAAACTTCAGCGTATCTTTAAGTCTTTGGTTTTTCATTCTTTAATTTAATTTATAGTTAAGACATATAATTTTCATGATATACTTTATACGTTTGTGGTGATTAGTGACCGTTTGTCGATGATTATTCAGAAATCGTGTAGGTGTGATGTAGGTTTCAGAAAAACCTTTTCATTATCGTGCCAACGTTTCGATCTTTATTGAGATCATCTTCAGGGCTCAAAGTGTTTGTTTTCTGTGTCAACGCGTTACGCAAGAATTGCACAATTACACAGGAAACAAACACTTTGAGCCCTGAAGATGTTCTCAATAAAAATCGAAACGTTGGCACGATAAAGAAAAGGTTTTCCTGAAACCTACATCACACCAGACCGCATCGCACGATTACTGAATAATCATACTTTATACGGTTTCTCCTCATTTCTTCGATCCGATTAAAACGTTGCATTAGGATTTCCTTCTGGTCACTGGCTCCTTCCTGCCATCACTTCAGCCATCAAGGCGCTTAATCCGCTTTAAGCGGGCTAGAAATTTAGAAAACAGGCCAATTAAGACCTGATTTAAGTGATTTTTGTTAATGGGTTATTCGATTGCCACCTTAGGATATTAAACACGTTTTATCGAATATAAATAATCAATTGAATTATATTAAAAGAAAGTGTTAATTTTGTGCAAAAGAAAGGGAAATTATACAGACAATTTTTAAAATGGAAAATGTCGTTCTAATGATCATCTATTTCAAACGATTGTTATCAACTCAATGATGATTTCTTGCTATGAAAACCGTAAGGTAAGAAAAAGTTTGCGTTTGATATTTTATGGATAGTTTTCAACTAGCAATAATCGCATCTCAGTGGAACTTCATTGATTACGATATTGCTACTGCGCAAGGTCACCCTAACCATCCATAAATTTTATGGATAGAAGGAGCGGAATAAAAATGCAAAAGTTTTAATTTCAAAAAGTTCAATACTTTCCTAGAACAAAGGAAGAAGCACCATATCTAGTCATGGTTTGAGACTAGGTCTTACATGTACAAAGTCAACTATAGATTAACCTTCCAAAGTATAGGAAATATTCACCAGGATCGGTAAAAAATAATTTCGTCATAGAAAGAGTAGAGGCCCTACGGGTGTACATTAAAATATGAAAAGACATCGTGAACAACGAGACTCAAAGGGTAATTATATATATATATATATATATATATTGTTATCACCTCAATGATGATTCCTTGCTTTGAAAACTGTAAGCTAAGAAAATTTTTACGTATAACACGTCTCCAAGGGTAACCATGGCAATTGTATATATACACATACATATATAAGACAAATTTATATATATATATACAAAAGACCCTTCCCTGTTCATTATTCACATTACACTTGTAAAGATTCAGATTAATCATATCCGTGAACAGGGAAGGGTGTTTTGCTTACAACACATTCTTCGAATCTGTACAGTATCATCTGTCTCTAAATTAGCGGTTTGTGGAGGTGTAACTCCTGATTGATGGGGGTTGCAATGGCCAAGGGTTGTCTCCGTGTGCGATACCATGTGAAGACTCCATAAGCTGAGGCTATGACCCATCTGGCATGGTCCATATGCTCATAGACGTTGAAATGTAGGAAGTCCTGATGATTGGCGAAACGTGGTTGAGTTTCAGCTCCTCTAATCCCAATTTGTTAATGTTTATTGAGAATTTTGGTGTTGATTCTTGCTCAATATGAGCTTAGCGTTACTAATAATTTGTGGATGCCCAGAAGTTTTGGAAGAATGGTACAATTCTCTGTTCCTGTAGACCACTTTACTGCCTCCTTTTAGTCGTTTTACTGTAGTCCCATCCTGGCGGCTTATACTAATAGGTTCTTCATTAGGAAATACAGCCAAATACTGGTTGAGCTCAGGTATCCAAGTCAGGTGATTGTCGGTTACGACGAGTTCTGTGTATGTACAGTTCGATGGAAGAATTATGGCCTTGTCGCACAGGTTGTCCTTATGGTTGATTTAAACTAAATTTTATCATGCTCATCAGGTCCGATGCAGCAAAGTCACCATTGATACGACTGGTTTCCAATATTCTCTTGAAAACCTTTGCGATGTCCTACCGACTGCGCCATTTACGTGTGTTGACTAATCGAGAGTGTTTTTAAAAAAACTTTATTAGTTAAACACAACTTACAATTTGAGAAGAACCTTTCCTGTTCACGGATATGAATAATCTGAATCTTTACAAGTGTAATGTGAATAGTGAACAGGGAAGGGTCTTTTGCTTACAACACATCAACACATTCTTCGAATCTGTACAGTATCATCTGCTTCTAAATTAGCTGTTTGTGCAGGTTTAACTTTTATATATATATATATATATATATATATAGAGAGAGAGAGAGAGAGAGACAGAGAGACAGAGAAAGAGAGAAAGAGAGAGTGTGAGAGGGTAAATAAAAATGGTCTAGGCAGAAAATCGTACTTTCTCTCAACATATCCTTTGGCTGCTTTGAATAATAGTTAGATATTATGACCGTTTATTCCTGGCAAAAGGAAAGCTGAAATCTGTCCGGAGTTTTTTCGCTTTAATTTTACTCCGAATCTAAAGCCAAGATTTTTATTTTATTATGGTTTAGACGAAGAAATTAATTAGAACAAGGCGATTTTCTTCTTACGCCTGACTAATTGCGGTTGGATTGGATTAAATTTTACATCGGGTGCAAACTTAATTTTAATTCAACGAAAAACACCACGAGAAAAGGAGTAATCAGAAGGTGACATGACTATCTCTACCCATTCACCAACCTCTGAAGATTCAGAATTTTTTCGTTTTTAAATAATATCATTTATCATTAAATTGGATTATATTAATTTTTACAGATTGACCTAGAGTTTTAGGAAAAAACAAAGAAATAAGGTAAATGATGGTACAGCCAGTTGATACAGACGGATCTAGATGCTAGTCGATACAAGACAGGAATTATAAAATATACAAGATGAAATAATCTTAGTTCATCTAATCAAAAGATGAAATGTTCACAGTAGTGATGTCTGAGGGTCAACGAGTGGCTCTTTTGTTCAGGTAGCTCAGAGCTTACCAACAGCCCCAGTCTGAGATCTGGTTTTTTTTGGGGGTTATTTTTACTGATAAAATAGAGTCAATGTGTGAGGAGGATGTTTTTTGGAGTATAAGTATTGGTCCTGGGATACTTTTTTGCCGAAGGCCGGCTTTGATGGGATGATACCTTAAACACTGTGCCAATTCTCACCTTAAACCAGCTATTCGTGAGGATGGACTGCAGGGAAGGAAGGATACTTTTAATTTGCAAATGAAAGCCAGATGCCAAATTCTATAAAATCCCTCCATGATATATTAAGAAAACTGCTAAACAAAATTGACGGATTGAATTTGGATATTAGTGGTTTGAGGAGGAGGGATTCAACATTTTAGGCTACCATTGAGAGGAGAATTACAGGAGGATAACTCAGGGGGGTTAAGGTCTTTGAAATGAAAGAGGATGTGTAACTGACAATTATATCAGGTTTCTTCATGTAGCATTGTATTCTACGTACTTAGAAAAAAGAAGAATTCAGTAGAAAATAAGAAAATAAGGGAAGAAACATAAAATCACAATGATGGACATGTTTCGGAAGTTTACTGATGATCCATTATTAGATCTCGAATTTTAAAACTTTAATACAACGAATTAAACTACAGAAAACATATTTTCTACACAAATACTATTTCCCCCTGACTAAAATAACAAGAATTGTTTAAGGATGGGTTATGGACTATTGACTACAACTGGAAAGGTCATTGTTAACTTCCCATCTCAACCCCACCTTTTGAATTTTCCCTCCTTTTTGCCATTTTTCATTGACTTTGTTATCTCAACTAAAAACTTTTATTAATTGTAATATATTAATTGGTCAAGTGGACCACGAAATTAGTGAATTTAATTCTTATTAAAGTTCAAAGCCACCAATGGGGATGGTGAAATGCCGCGACGTGCTTAGTAGGCGAACCAGAATGATCTAAGAAGGAGGAAAAAAGTTACAAGAGTTTAGTGATCTCGAGATTCACCCTAAAAATATCAGTATTGAGTAGTTGTGAAAGTCAGTGGCCGTATAGTAACTTCCGGGCTATTGTGACGAGGATCAGGTATAAAGAGATCCTGGAAGGTTAGAGGTTTTCGACTTTTATCGAGATGTAGATCCATGGGGGTTGTCTCCGGCCCGTCGGGGACTGAAAAAAATGTCAACGTCTTTAAACACCAGCGGGGAGCCTCCTTGGACGAGATAGGTTATCTCTCCTTGACGAGCAAGGGAGAAAAACAATTCCCTCGACATTATAAACGAGTTTCCAACGTTTTATTACGTCCAGGGTATCTTGTAACACTGAATCATCGCCCTGCGGGGGGAAGAGATCGAAACGCGTCTCGAGTTGCATTTTAAGTAACAGGCTGTTCGATCGTGAGGGTCTGATCACGCAAGGTTTTGCTTTATTAAAAGTAACTTTCCATAAATTGAAAATTGATTATATATGTAGTATATATTTAGTGTATATATATATATATATATATATATATATATATATTTATTTATTTATTTCAGAGCCAATATTATCTAATAATGTATGGTGATTAGTGAAGATTAACTACCGACGTCCTTCCACATCCTACATGTATTTATTAAATTTAAACAATGTTTATAAATCCCAGGCCCTGAAGATGATCTCAATAAAGATCGAAACGTTGGCACGATAAAAAAATGTTTTTGTGAAACGTACATCACACCAGACCGCATCTCACGATTTCTGAATAATTATCTAATAAATATTACTGGATTACTTACTTAAATGTACGTTTACATAATGCTATATATAAACCAAGGCTATTTTTTTATGTTTCTAATCGTGCGCTTCATTTCAAAACGAGTAGATGTCCGCACGTTTTTCTCGTACTAACCCCCTTTGGAAGCGTCGGGGTTGTTTGTTCGCTTCGTCTCTCTCTCTCTCTCTCTCTCTCTCTCTCTCTCTCTCTCTCTCTCTCTCATCGGTGAAATTACAAGAGCCAATTTAAAATTATTCCAATTATAAAAGAACGCAGCCATCCAAAGTTGTTGAAATGTTTGTTATCGCCGCGAGAAACCCTTGATTTTCGTGAAATTGAGACGAAACCCTGCCAGTCCAAAACCAATGTTCAACCTCTTAGCCCCGCGGATCATTTGTTACCTTCAAACTTTAACAATAGGGCTGTTAATTGGACCGGATCGGCTTTAAATTATTTTCGACCTATACAATCCGTTGCTAAATTAGCTTGGTAGAATTGGTAGAAAATATCTGATTATTTTAATTTATTGTTGTCTGACTTCACTTAAAGAACGTGCTTGAAAGAACAGGAAAATATCTCAGAACTCGGGGTTTATCAACAACGATCAACCTCTAAATAAGAGTAGCAGTCACAAAATCGGCAAAATTTACCTCGGATGATTGCTTTTTGATGGTAATTTTCCAATTTACGGTATTACTATCATAATCGTATTTTTACTACAGTTACATGTGTCGGTGTATGCCCACATGTTTTCCCGCACTAGTTCACTATTTACCGTTCTCATTATGGAAAACTGTATCGGGTTTATTGTTTGATATTTCTCAAATGTTGGGTTCCTACGTTACTACATGTTAAATCATATTCGGAAAAAAACAGGAAAACTGTTAAAAAACCATATATTTGAGATGTGAAATATATTGTAGTTTCTGAGTGTACTTCCGATATAGACTTTTGTCAGTGGTTGGCATGTTTTTTTTCTCGAGATAGCATGATTTTTAACGTTGTGTATCATTTTTAGAAAGAAAGAAGGCTGTACATAAAATGTTTTTGTCTCCCCCTGATAATAAAGTT